ACCACGGGAGGCACTGATCTGCCTCCCCAAGCCCCTTCCTTCCCCACTCCCCTTTCACAACAGACTTACCAGCTGCATGCAGCTGTATCAGAAATCAGATCGGTATCAGCCAATATGCCTCCTTAAATATCAGCTATTGGTATCAGTCCCCAAAATCTCTATCTCTAACTTTTTTTTAACAATCAGTGCAAACAGCAGCAATTAGAAGTATCCTTGCTAAACAGTTTTCAAAAGCACTCAAAGTTGGCTTAACCATTCTCACAAATCAACAAGAGTTGTATCACTTATTCCAAAAGGAACAAAGTTAAACTGGCAAAGAACTTTTTTGAAGAGCCCAAGCCTTTGTTTTTAAGTCATTTAATCCTACTGATAAAAAAAATTCTAACTATGATCACATAATTAGATACACTTCATTTTTTTCAGCAAAATTATGCTTCTTGATCTCACAAGCAAGTGTGACCTACAGTAGCAAATCAAATAATTTTGTTAAAAGGCAAAGCTAAAAAAAGCAAATACACAGGTGTATGTTTACAGATATACACACACACCTGCAACAGAACCTGGGAAGATAAGAAATTTCTGAAAAGTGAGAAATAAATAGACCCGTTTCAAGAATTAAACTCTGATGAACTGAAAGGGATGCAAAATAGTTACTGCTAGTACAGAAGATTTCCAAACTCCAGCATATCTAGAAAGGGATAAAGTACACTCCTACAGTAGCAGTCTCTGTCAGTAGTTTCTCGATGGCTATCATCTCTGTATTTTGTCATGCTGTCTTACTATGTACCAAGGCCAAAAGTACATACATGGGTCAACGTTAAAACAAATTTAAGAAAGGCATTTCAAGTTTTATGCAAAGATAACTGCTTCAGGGACATAAAGGTGTCTGTGCTGAGTACAATACATCTATTATTGCTTAGCAGATGCTAGGAGAGCTTCTGTCCCATACAAGCCTTAGAAGAATAGGTTATGCCTTCCTTTCGCTTACTTCTACTTTGCCTCCAAGGCTAGACTTAGAACTGCTGTTAGAAAGTCAGAACAATTGATGCTAAAGTACTGTCAAGGCATACAAGACACTTACTTTTCTCCAACTTGGCTAAAGCCAAGAACTACAATTCAGACTTGGGGAGACTACACACTTCTCAAACTAGTCAGGCATAACATGTGATATGAGGGAAACTTGCAGAAACATTTTCTACCCAATTTATAACTGCACTTTCTAATGTCAGAATTAGACATTAAATAAATTATAATGCCCATTAAAATCATCATAGGAAAAAGAAAAAATTCAGCTGAGATCAAAACTACATGATGATGGAACCTGGACAAATAAAGCACCAAGACAACTCTGCCTGCGTGGCTGCCCTCGCAGAAGGCTTCTTGGAGTTCTAGTGTGACATCTACGCTCAGAACCCTGGGTATATTCTGCTTTCTAGTCACCCCATGTCCAGGCACAGCTTGAAGACTATCTGGGGAAACAATTTAATTAAATCAAATCTGTACAACTCCCACAACAGTTCATTTCCAGAGTTTTTGAATGACCCTATTCAATATCATAACTCTCTGTAGAAGGAAAAAACACGTTGTACAACTGAAACCAAACTAACTTAATTAAAACTTGAGTTTTCTTCAATATTTTAAAATCCAGAGCATGTAAACTACATCATACAAGTAGTGAGCATATTGCTTAAAGGAAATGTTAAGAATCTGATAAGAACAAAACTATTACAAGTTCTGCCCATCTTGATTGCTCCCAGCAGGTCTGCTTGTTGGGCACAGACAGGGCCGTACCTGGGAGGGAAGGGGGGAGCGATTTGGGGCGACCATCCTAGGCCCCACGCTTTGTGGGGCCCCACGGAGCCAGGCAGAGCAGCAGTGGTGCAGAGCTGGGCAGAGCGGCGGCTCCACATCCAGCTGCTTTCTCCCTTCCCCCGCTACTGCCAATGGCAGAGGCAGCTTCTTGAGGTCTGGGAGCAGGGCCCCGCATGGGTTGATTTGCCCCAGGCCCTGCACTCTGCTCAGGTCATCTCTGGACGCACACATATATTTTTCCTTTTTTTTCCCCTGATTATTGAGCACTTAATTACAATTACAGATACAGCCTCTCTTTAAATAGCAAGTTTCTAGAAACATCAATTAGAGACTCATAAAGACATTACCTCATCAACAAAACAGAGTCTGGCAACTATACAAAAGCATGATGGAATTACACCCTTTGATTTTTAACATTTAGTTTCAACTTGATACATGTGAAGTACCTAGGATAGAAACACAGAGGGAAGAAACTGTAACAGAATTAAACATCTCACATCCTCTTGTTCTGTGAGTAACACAGATTTCTTGACTTGTTTATTAAATTCTAGTAAATAGTTGAACAAAATATTCCATAAGTTTCCTAACTGATGCATCTCCCTATGTCTTCAACAGCCACGAAAACAGCTGCTGCTTCAGAAAAAAAGTTTTTGCCTTCCTATATTTCTACTAAGGCAGCATTTCTCAACTGGTGGGTTGCGACCCAAAAGTGGGTTGCAAGAATATTTGAAAGGGTCATGAGCAGGTCCCCAGAAAAAACACGTGAAAGCATGGGTTCCCCCAGGCAGGCTGGCATTGTTCCAACCTGCAAGCAGCTGCTTGGGATGATTGGAGGCAGTGGGCACACGTGTATCTGCATGGCAGATACACATGGCCAGCATAGAGCAAGGCCAGGTTACAGGAGCAGCCCCAGCTGCTGGATGCAG